ACAGTGAAATTTGGAGATTGGAGAAAAATTGGAGATTTACTTACCTGGTTGATTGCGAATGCATCAAGACCCACACTTGTTATTAATCTCTGGCTCTCTTCCACGTGTCTTTTATCCTGTCTTCCTTCACTCTCCCCAACTGGTCGCAGCAGATGGCCCCGCCCCTCCCTAAGCCTGGTTCTGCTGGAGGTTTCTTCATGTTAAAAGGGAGTTTTTCCTTCCCACTATCGCCAAAGTGCTTGCTCATAGAGGGTCATATGATTGTTGGGTATTTCTCTGTATGTGTTATTGTAGGGTGTACCGTACGATATAAAGTGCCTTGAGGCGACTGTTGTGATTTGGCGCTATGTAAATAAAATTGAAAATAGAACATTTTGGTGAGTCGTCCAAATCCTTGTTCATTCTTACACAGGAGGGTAATAAGGGAACTAAGAACACCTGGGGAAAAAACGCTGACACAAATGACCTGAACACCACAGGGGACATACAACTAAACACGCTGAAAAAAGAACACGAGACACGTGAAAAAACAGGACACATAATGGGACGTAGACATAACAACTTGAACTTGACAACATGGAACATGCTCTACCATGCATAACTGTGTGCAGTCCCCTTAGCCCCACCGGCTCTGAGCTGTACTGTCTCAAAGCAGAACTTTACAAAACACTTAATTAACTAAATTTACGTGGGTCAGATGTGTAAAAACCAGACAGGATCAGCTATTGCATCAGCACTTGAGGATATTCTGAGGGAGGGACAGGTGAAGGTAAGGAGTTTTTTAATAAACATTTTCAATGGTTAATGGCATGATATATCACGCATTTCTCAACATCAAGCAAGATTAAATCAAGCATTGCTGAACATTTTAACAGAAGCTTTAACCTTCCTGTCGTGTTTGGGTCAAATCTGACTGATTTACAACTTAAAACAACTTAAAATCATGAGCCCTGTTTGTGCTGGAGTGATGGATTCTTTCAATAAATCCCAGAAAATCAGTTTGGTTTTGACGCTCAATTTATTTTTCCACAACAAACAGCA